GGAAACAGCACATCTCTGTTGACACCCAACTGGACACATCAGAAGGTCTGTGCTGCTGCAGGTACGCACTGTTGTTTTCATAAAGGAGATAATATAGTATTTTATATTTGAACACTTTGTTGGAAAATGTTGATAAGATTATATTTTTTAGATTTATTTCAAATGTTTTCCTATTTTTTTTACAGAAATCTCCCCAGACGGCAAAATGGATTTTTCAGATGATTATTATGGTCAATATTATAACTACACTGAATATAACTACAGTGATTATAACTACAGCAATGTCACTCAACAAGAGGACCCGGTTTTTCAGCACGAATCAACGTGTGTAAAGGAAGTTTTGTGTGTGTTTTTACTCGTGGTCACCGTGGTGATCTTTCTGCTGGGCTTCTTCGGAAACGCTCTGGTGATCTGGATTTCTGGCTTCAAGATGACGAAGACGGTCAACACCACCTGGTACCTGAGCCTCGCCATCTCCGACTTTGTCTTCTGCGCCTCCCTCCCGTTCAGCATCACGTACATGGCAATGGAGAATTGGGTCCTCGGCCGCTTCATGTGCAAATTCACCTCCTCGGTTATGTCCCTCAACATGTTCAGCAGCATCTTCCTCCTGGTGGTCATCAGCGTGGACCGCTGCGTCTCAGTCGTGTTTCCAGTCTGGGCCCAGAACCATCGCACTGCTAATAAAGCGACCGGTGTTGTTTGCATCTCCTGGCTTCTGGCTGTCGCACTGAGCATTCCCTCTGTCATCTTTCGGGATGTTAACAGTCACTTGGGAAGGACCCAATGCTACAATAATTACTCCTCATACAAACACAGTCACACGATAGTTGCAGTGAGCCGCTTCTTTGCAGGGTTTGTTGTCCCGTTTATTGTCATCATCATCTGCTACTCTATCATTATCCTCAAACTTCGAAACAACAGGATGACTAAATCCAACAAACCCTTAAAGGTCATGTCTGCGCTCGTCGCTGCTTTCTTCGTCTGCTGGCTGCCGTACCACGTGTTCATCCTACTTGATATTAACCATGAACACTTGGAACAGAGCATTTTGGTTTCCGGACTCAAAGTAGGCACATGCATGGCGGCAGCAAACAGCTTCCTCAACCCGGTGTTGTATGTGTTTATGGGCAACGACTTCAAGAGGAAGTTTAAGAGCTCCGTGCTCTCAAAGATGGAGAACGCGATGGGAGAGGAGGGCCGCACCACCAGCCGATACCTGTCCAGGTCCAGCTCCATGGACGGGAGGGCTTCTACTCACATCTAAAGATATTTATCTGGTTTCCCTCAGATATGCAATTGATTGACACATGAAATGAATTATGTGTAGCTTCATGGCGCTAATGAGCTTATTTGTTGTACTTTTTTTACTGTTGGTAGCATGGAGAAAGCTGTTGTTCTTCAGGCTCACAAACACATAATGTAGTTGAAGAATGTAAGCTTGAGCCAATATTTAAACATTGGGAATTGCAAGGTAGACGTAAATCTCTTGCAGTAGAAAGAATGTTTTGGGAGCAGTAGTTGTGGAAAGTTCTCCGGCAGTCATTCCTGCAGCAAAGAGATTTTTCTTTCTTCTCTAAAATACAAGGATTGTAAAATATGAGGGATTCTTCTTTCTGATAATAAATGGTTTTAATGTGTTATAATTCACACTCGAGGGGCTCCTTTTATGAACAATGTTCTCTTCCATGCTCATGCATGAATTGCAAGTATGGCATTTATTTTCATTAGTGAAAACACATCAAAATGAGAAGGAGGGTAAATGGTATATTTTCTGAAATAAAGCTACTAAAACAAAATTCAGCTCTCTGATTTACTCAATTGTCGATATCAAGTTCACTTCGGAAATAATAAGACTTAAAGATTATATCAGGCTCAAGACAAAAAATGTAACTATTGCAACACCTCCAGAGTCAAAATGTGTTTTCACCTGAAGCACAAAAAGTAATCTCATTTTATTCTCAGTAACACAATTAAAGGAATAACAACAGCGAGAGAGCCTGGAGTTTTTTTAATGTTGAAACTGAACTTTGAAACAACATCCACAACATTCATCTGGCTGCTACTTAGAAATGATCTATCTAATATATTGCATATAGACTCTTATTGCACTATTTTCACTATTTCACTTTTTCTTTTAAACTATTTTTATTTTGTATTTACTATTTACTTGCACTATATTTTTCTGTTTATTTTTCTGTTTATCTGTTTTATTGTGTTGCACTGTTGGAAGAGCCTGTGACCTAAGATGTTCATCGTCATAACTACACTGTAGCTATGTTCGTATGACAAATAAAAAAACCTTGAACCTATTGGGGAAGCCCCAGACTGCAGAGGTGACATGAGGCAGGCAGTGAATCACAATATAACCTGAGTTTTACCTTTTGAGCTTCTATATTAACAAGTGCACCCATTATAGTGTTATGGTGGAGACCAACATGGAGCTAAAATGCTATTTTATTTATATTTCTGAAATATATTGGACTGTTTATTTCTTGTGTCTTAGTTTCTCTTATGAACATTACCTTGTGTTTTTTATGCTGCTGCAACGCAAACAAATCCGAAATTGGGATCAATAAAGAACCTACCTATCTATCTATCTATCTATCTAGTATCTATCTATCTATCTATCTATCTATCTATCTATCTATCTATCTATCTATCTATCTATCTATCTAGTATCTATCTATCTAGTATCTATCTATCTAGTATCTATCTATCTATCTATCTATCTATCTATCTATCTATCTATCTATCTATCTATCTAGTATCTATCTATCTATCTATCTATCTATCTATCTATCTATCTATCTATCTATCTATCTAGTATCTATCTATCTATCTATCTATCTATCTATCTATCTATCTAGTATCTATCTATCTATCTATCTATCTATCTATCTATCTATCTATCTATCTAGTATCTATCTATCTAGTATCTATCTATCTATCTATCTATCTATTATCTATCTATCTTATCTTATCTATCTCTAGTATCTATCTATCTATCTATCTATCTATCTATCTATCTATCTATCTATCTATTATCTATCTATCTATCTATCTATCTATCTATCTATCTATCTATCTATCTATCTATCTAGTATCTATCTATCTAGTATCTATCTATCTATCTATCTATCTATCTATCTATCTATCTATCTAGTATCTATCTATCTAGTATCTATCTATCTATCTATCTAGTATCTATCTATCTATCTATCTATCTATCTATCTATCTATCTATCTATTTATCTATCTATCTATCTAGTATCTATCTATCTAGTATCTATCTATCTAGTATCTATCTATCTATCTATCTATCTATTTATCTATCTATCTATCTAGTATCTATCTATCTAGTATCTATCTATCTAGTATCTATCTATCTATCTATCTATCTATCTATCTATCTATCTATCTAGTATCTATCTATCTATCTATCTAGTTCTATCTATCTATCTATCTATCTATCCTATCTATCTATCTATCTATCTATCTATCTATCTATCTATCTATCTAGTATCTATCTATCTAGTATCTATCTATCTATCTATCTATCTATCTATCTAAAAGTAGATTAAATATTGGACTTATGTTCATTGTGATAAACTCCAAGTAAATGATGATGTTGCATCACATCTGCTGTATGTGCACCTGCATGCCAACATGTTTGCAATAGATGTTGTGTTACAGTTTGTCCTGTTGTTCGCTTTTTTTAAATTACAACTCATTTGTTAGGGTCAACAAATTCGTATTTTTCAGCTTGACACATCTATGGAGACGTGGAGGGCAATACTATTTGCTTATTTTTGGTACTAATGTACTTTCTATCTATCTATCTAGTATCTATCTATCTATCTAGTATCTATCTATATATCTAGTATCTATCCATCTATCTGTCTATCTAGTATCTATCTATCTATCTATCTAGTATCTATCTATCTATCTAGTATCTATCTATCTATCTATCTATCTAGTATCTATCTATCTATCTATCTAGTATCTATCCATCTATCTGTCTATCTAGTATCTATCTATCTATCTAGTATCTATCTATCTATCTATCTATCTATCTATCTAGTATCTATCTATCTATCTAGTATCTATCTATCTAGTATCTATCTAGTATCTATCTATCTATCTAGTATCTATCTAGTATCTATCTATCTATCTATCTATCTATCTAGTATCTATCTATTTAGTATCTATCCATCTATCTAAAAGTAGATTAAATATTGGACTTATGTTCATTGTGATAAACTCCAAGTAAATGATGTTGCATCACATCTGCTGTATGTGCACCTGCATGCCAACATGTTTGCAATAGATGTTGTGTTACAGTTTGTCCTGTTGTTCGCTTTTTTTGAATTATAACTCATTTGTTAGGGTCAACAAATTCGTATTTTTCAGCTTGACACATCTATGGAGACGTGGAGGGCAATACTATTTGCTTATTTTTGGTACTAATGTACTTTTCTTATTGTTTGGCTTATCTATGGAAGGGCCTGGAGAAACTCTAGTGAGATCCAATAACAGAAACATTTCTTTGATCTTCAAATACACATTTTAATGACCTTTCCCAACAGTTGTTCAGAAATGACAGCGGACTATAGCACATTATTTTATTTACTCATTTATTGGGCCTCATCACATAACATTCATTCCATAAAAAATACATTCAAATGTGACACTGTGTGCCTGCTTGTCAATGAAAGCGAGAGCCAATAAAGTTTAAAGCATGTTTTAAAAATAGAAACAACTTCTCCCGTTTTGCTAGTTGCAATACAAATCTTGTCAAAGTGTCAGCAAACACTATAAAAATATATCTATATCATTCTGAAAATGGAAGTCAGTTAATATTTCCTGGTTCTCAATCACCAGTGTTTTATTTATTTATATATTTGTGTATCTAATTATTTATATATTTGTTTATTTTAAAGCATACCGCATAGCACATTGAGTACCAGTATCAGACGTGCCGCTTCTAAAATGTGAGCTGAATTTTTAACACATTTGTGGATATTCTTTTTAAATTATGAGGAGTAAATGTATTATCAGCTTTGACTATGTTATAGCTTTTTATACAACAAAGACATAAAACAAAAAGTTAAAACAGTTTTCACATTCAGTATGATTAACTGTCATAAAATAAATCAATAAAGATCACTACTGCTAAAGGAAACCTCCGATCTAATATACGTGTAATGCTTAATTCCTCAGTGATCTTTGGGCCGGGTGTTGCACAGTAAAGTGCTTTTTGGATTTCTGCATCAAGTCCAGTGTTAAGGAAACATTCCACAACCGAGTGGACACGGCACACCACAGATAAATAAATGCTGCCAAGGTAAATCCTTTTCTCTCCTTGAGTCAGTGTCTTCAAGAGGGATGCGTCATCTTCTTGAATAAGAGGAGCTGAGTTCTTAACCTCTTCATTGAAAATACAGATTCCTCTTTTTTAATAAAAACTTGGAAACACAGTATCATGATCAAGTAGTTATAACCTGCATATTGCATTTTTCCCTCTGACAAAAGGGCTGAACATTTGAAAGTGTACAAGAATCATACATTTAAAGTTTTCAATTCTCATATTTCTCTTTAGCACAAAATAAGCTCATCAAACCTTGCAGTATTGTATAATGATTTTTAGGTCACATGTTTTTCTGACTGGCAACGAATCACCCAGTGCCGTCAGATGAGCCTCTCTGTGGTCACAGCTATTGTACCTCCTTTAAGTTAAGGCATTTGTACATGCCTACACAGCACATGTGCATAGAGCAGGATAGGAAGTGCTTTTCATTTAGACAAAGAGAAAAACAAACCTTCCCAGGGAAAACTGCCTCTTCTATTAATGCATAAAGCTGCTGAGGTTCAACAGAAAATGAAAGAACCTTAATATTAAAATAGTAAGAGTAAAGAGACTTGTTTCTGACTACAGCTTTGACCTATGTTTACCTTAAAAATTATTGAAACAAACTATTTCAGTCATGTTATCCTAAAAATGTGGTGTAGATTGTCCAATTAACAGTCCGATTAAAGGAAGGGGGGGGAATTCAATGAGGGGTTCACGTATATCATCTTGGCATATATTCGTCTGGAATTCCGGGCATGTTCCTCTTCCTCAAGGCAGCGTCGACTTTCCGGACCAGTTCATTGATGCTCGCTCGCATTTCAGGAGTATACGGGTCATACTCAAGCTTTCGCAGGCCGGACCGCTTGAAGTTCCCGTCCTTCTGGCCCTCGACGCAGAGAAGGCGCTCCTCAGAAACCTTCAGACCCAGAAACTGGACCATCCCTTTGAGATGGGAGAACAGGTCCCTCTTCACATTCTCAAAGTGGACCACGTGGACCACCTTCCCGTAGTTCAGCCAGTCCAACGTGTGGGACGCCCACCAAGGGGAATAGTTCTTCACAAACTCGGGCCACTCTGCGGGACAAATGAGAGGACAGAAATTAATCAACGAGAGAAAAAGTGATTGTCAATGACTCAATGTACTACAAAAGTGCGAACAGAAGTATTGAAGAAGGAAAAAACACAGAGCAAGTAAAACTGTCTTTGGTAACAATGGAGCACATTCATCAACTTCCTCCTAATTACATTGAAGTCAATGAGTAATGTTAAGGAATAGCTCTTTAGTGGACACACAA